GAGAGAGAGAGAGAGAGAGAGAGAGAGAGAGAGAGAGAGAGAGAGAGAGAGAGAGAGAGAGAGAGAGAGAGCAGGCGGTTACGTTGTTGTGCATTGAACCTGGGGGAACAAGAAAGGGAGTGGAGAAGGTATTCGTTGAAATTTCAAAATGACAGAGAAGAGTAGGGTTAAGGAGGGATTGGAGGTGGAGCAAGAAGGGAAGGTTATGTTATTGTTCGATCCTTTGAGCTGGGCAGGAGAGAGGTGGGGAGGAGAGAGGTGGGAAGGAGAGAGGTGGGAAGGAGAGAGGTGGAGGATGGGCGGGAGCATTCAATCGTTTGTGGACGGCAGGGATGTGGAACTATGCTGTCGCTTTATCTTTTCAGAAGGGACTGGAAGGGGAGGATATATCTGAACAAGCTGAGAGAGACATAAAGACAAGGTAGTGGAGAGAGGATGGGAGCAATGGAGGTAATGTTCTTCATCGTTCTTTTCAGTGAAAGAGATGGGCAGTTGCGTGCAATAAGTGATGTGCAAATCTCACGTGCTCTCATCCATTTGTCAACGATCTGTTTAAATTTGTTTTGTTTCTTTTCAGGCGAAGCTGCGATAGGGGGCAAAAGGGGGGAGGGAGTTCGACTAGGAGGGGGTGGGAGGAGATGAGAAAGGGGGAAAGAGTTGCAGAAGGACGGGGAGTAATCATGGTAGGAGTGGTAATGGGGGAGGTAGGTGCGATAGGAGGGAGGCAAATGAGTGGAGAAAGGGGAGAGGTGGTTGCGATAGGAGGGGAGATGATAGAAGAGAAAGAAAAGAGTCATGACAGGCAGGAAAGCAGTTGTGATAGGAGGGTGAGGTTGGAAGGAGAAAGGGGAAGAAGCGCAAAGGGAAAGAAGCTGTGATAGGAGGGGAAGGGAGCGGGAAAAGGGTGAAGGTAGTCATGATAGGAGGTGGACGGGGTTGAGGTAGAGGGGGGCAGTAGTTGCTCTCTCTCTCTCTCTCTCTCTCTCTCTCTCTCTCTCTCTCTCTCTCTCTCTCTCTCTCTCTCTCTCTCTCTCTCT